CTTGAAAACGAATAATCTTTCACTTCATCATACCTGGGAAAACAAATCTTTTTAGTAGAAATAATACCTGGATTCTCTCGGTGCAACCACCACAGGGATCCCATAACTTACCAGGCCTTTGTAGCTTGTGCGCATGTGTACTTAGAATGGCTACCACCCCACGAATTTCGCATTGCTAAGTTTTCTCCAAAATTACCCCTGGCATGGACCATTTTCTTTATTGTAGCCAGGTGTATTGCGTATTTTTTCGCACCAGCAGCTAATTCTCTATCCCATCGCAGGGCAGSAGCRCCATGKYGGGCTCGGTAGCGRTTATGGGCCTCAAGGCATCGTTGAATRTTAACAGACACTGAAGATAAAAAAAGTGGAATGGAAAATTGAAAGAAAGATGAATGTATAGATGRATGATGGATGGAAAGAAATTAAGAGATGGAGAATTGGTCAAGCAAGTGTTGATCAAAACAGAAATAAAATTTTGATCAAAACAGTTTTTCATATATAAAAGTATGGTTGTTTTCTTTTTATTATTAGATTAAGATTGTTCTCTTTACTAGAGTTTTCTCACCTGCTTGAACACCTTTTGGTATAGGTTTTTTGATTCCTGGTTTTTTAGTGACACGACAAAAGCGACAAGCAGCAGGACAGTTTTGCCTCATGTATACTCTGTATCGGTGGCCATTTCTGCAGWATCCCTTTTGCGCCCATGATGGACAAAAACGGTTCTCTGGTTTGGTACCTACCCAGATATTAGACGGGAAACAAGAAAGGAATAAAACAACTGAGCCTGATTATCTCATGGGCAGTGCTAGCTATAAGGCTGTTCAGATCTTAGACTGCGCACACTTTGCCTAGTTAGTATATATCTGTCTTTATGAAATGAATATAGGTGAAATTTGGTAAATTAAATATTTTAAGATGAATGCTTCCAAAGAGGAACAAAATCATTTATTTTATCCTGCAAGGAAAATCAGAGAAGATGGCAGAGACTGACTACTGTAACTCGTCATTTCCTACCTCAACTAAAACAAAAACCGACAAGCATTTCTAAAAGGTTTATATTATATTCTTTCTCCAAAAAAAGGCAAACAAATATTTAATTAATTGTTCCTTACAGGGACGCAATGAAGGAATGGTTGGTCGARGTTTTGTTCTACACTTTCCACATGTACGACGGCATCTACTATAAAAATAGGCTKCCCTGCAATAACGTCGTGAAAAGCTTTTACAGTTAGACATCCTGTCACGACCTTGGAAAAGAAGAAAGAATGTTTGAGTTTTATCATCTAAAAATCTAACCTTTATCTTATACCACTTATGTTTTTTTTTCAAATAAATCTGTTTTAAAATTTCCGAATGTTCTTGCACTATTTTACATGAATAGACGAAACATCTCTTACATGCTGCCCGCTTGTCAGAGGATACGTCATCATCCGGGACATCGTTCCAGTCGACGATAGCTGATGACTTCACAGCAGCGAGATACACGACAAGAAGTAAGAAAATGGCTTTAGACATCTTGCTTGGATCTGATAGTTTCAGTCAAAGGTTAATAATATYAATAGTAAGACAAGAGGGAAAGACATTGAAGGACCTTATGTGAATAATAACTTATGTCCATAAACAAAGTCTGATTTTTTAAAACTGGTAATTAAACAGAACAAGAGAAAATTAAGAATTTATGAAAACGCTGATCGATTATAAAAGAAAAAAAAAGAAACTGACAATGAACAACATGCGAAGAAAAGACTTGAAAGCTGTAAGTTGTGTGCACTGATACCTCGCGCCGACCCACTCTCAAAATGCAATTGCCGTAGCTCATTTGAGGCAGGCTGTATCTACTACTTAAAGAACAAGCCAGCTGAGAAGCAAGAGAAATCACGAAGCATTCATGTCACATTCATGGTACATGCATTTAGTTGAGTGCAAATTTTACCTGAGATTTCGGTTCAGTACTGTGTGAACGCCTCTAACTTGTGCAATCATGCAACAATAGAATCGAGTCACTCTTCGTGGTCTTTATATAGCTACACTAAGTCAGAGGCAATGGATGGGGCGTCAACTCTGTCAATCAATGTCTTTTAAACTTTCACTCTTTATAAACAAAACTTTTGTTCTCKGGGGAGAAGGTAGGATGAGGGGGAGGGAGTACGGGAACGTACAGTGAAATATCATCTTGAATAGGGTGCGGAATTTCACGATTTTGTTGTCCTGAATAGTATCGGAAGTTAGAAGTATTATATAACGTCCAAGTCCGAATCTGTATCAAGTATCCCCCGGGTATTCAAGCGTTTTGCTCTTGATAGTACGGCCCCCTACTTGGCAGAAAAGAAAAAAGTAACTATGTCTTGTTGTGACATCAGGAGTCAATGCAAACTCGTGAATTTCATTACTCTGACGATGCAAAAGCTTTCGGGGATATCAAAACGGTTGGAACCAAAAAGGAGAGCTTATATACTATGTGTTTTTTACTTGCTTCAGCTCTGTGGTTTTCACCTTTCTTTTCCGATTGCACAAATTTCAGTTTTCGTGTCATTGTCTTTGACAGGTATTTTATGGGTCAAAGTGAAAACGCTTCGCACGCAATTAATTTGTCGAGTGTCGGTTCTCGACAAGAGAGGCTCAAGTAGGCAGTCATTGTCTTCAAGTCAGGTTATCGTGATCTGAGTTGATTGTTTGACAATTCTGCTGTTTTCAAGTATGGGTTAATTAAGCAATAAACGATAGCTTGAAGAGGTTTACTGTTGAAAACCGCGCTGTATGGTTGGGAGAACACGAGAAAAGATCTGTAAATCAAGAGCCGTCAGGCGACTCAAAAGTCTTTAAAGACAGCAGCCTGGTTTACCGGTGAAATTAACCATAGCTTTTCTCATGAAATCCGCCAATCAGCGCGTGTGTTACAATTGAGCTATAATATAAAATGTGTATGATATGATGTACGTTTCGTGCGGACTGGTGAGCTTCATTAAATGAACTATGTTGGCGAAATTACTATCGCATTATTACTACACCACATAAAAGAAAAAACTAATGGAAGTTTAATAGTTACCATGTTTAATTGGGCTTCCTGTGGTGTAGGAATGAAATGCATGWCAAAATATCACGAATCATCCCAAATCCTTAGAATTGKCATTAACTATTCTCTACATGTATAGTCATGTCGAGCATGTGATMGCCACGGTCTAAAAATAAACGGACATGTAATGTTCCGAGAATCAACTCTCCCGTCTTTTCCTGGAATTATTGAGATTCACAACGCGGTTAGTACTTCATGTAAGAAACCCGAGATGTACCCTAAACATAATCCTAACTCTAACACAGAAATATACTAGTAAGTGMCAATTCATGGGGTTGTACATGAATTACTGACCCACACCGTAACTGAGCTTCATGGAAATCGAGAAAAAGYCGAKGTTCTGAGTTAAAATGTTATCGAAACACCAATGCTGGCGATGTATTCGAGAAACAAAACAAGGAATAACGTGTATGAAGTGTCATAAGGCCTWTTACTGCAGTAARAAGTGYTATAACGAAGATCAATACAGACACRGCAGTGACTGCGATGACATGGCTTTACGCTTCGTSTGTCGAGGATGYSGAAAAACTGGCAGCTCAATGATGATGTGTTCAAATTGTATGAACGCCTGGTTCTGYGGAAAAGATTGTCTGAAAAAGAACTTTAAATCAAGTCACARGGAKGAGTGYAAACAGGTTTCTGAACAAGTAAAAGATGTAGCGAAAGGGATGAAACWGCGGTCAGTTTTGATGGCCGGCTCTCGTTTGGAATTGAAAGCGCTTTATTACTTTGGAAATTCACCAGCGATTGACTTGCTTAATACRTCGATGAATGAAGGTCAAGATTACAGYGACCCTCTAAGGCTTCTACTGTGTGGAGTTGGCGATCCTAGACATGTRTTTCTTACAATCAGCAAGCTAACCCCTAATAATRACGATGTAGACTTTGTATTGAATGACATCAATGAATGTACTTTGGCAAGAACCGTTCTCCTGGTTTATATGCTTTGGAAAGGTAACAATTTCATTATATTATCCGTTTAGATAAATATTAGAAAAATTATAGATAAGTCTGGACAGTTCGTTGAGCCTTTGCCCGAAATATTAGTAGATTTAAACTACATTTTAAAGTGATATCTAGATACCCTTTAATCCATTATTAAACACCCTCACTGTCAATATTAACGTATACGTTTGCTGGGGTATCGGTACTGATATCCTATAGTACTCATATTGTGCCATCTCAGACAGACGAAAGTATGCAATAAACTCTGTTGTTGTTGTTGTGGATGTTGTTGTTGTTGTTGTTGTGGTTGTTGTTGTTGTTGTTGTTGTGGATGTCTTTGTTGTTGTGGATATTGTTGTGAATCAATGTTGTTGGTGTTGGTGTCGGTGTTATCGTTGCTGATGTTGCTCGCTGTGTTTTAAGATCATATATTGTTTTCTATTGATTGCAGTGGGTTCAGACAAAGCTGAATCTGTTGTACAAGTATGGTATTCCTTACACATATCACAACAAGACCACGACATAATGCTATCTTGTCTACAAGACTTGATCGACGCGTCTAACTTGCACGACATCACATATGGTACCTTGAATATCAAGAACGACGATCACCTCATGAAGTTGAAGGAGGTATGGAAGACATGGCAACGTATGTCAACACAGGACAACGATCTTACTGGACAGCGGCGTGAAGTCTTTGACAAAAAAGATGCGCTAGATGGAGCCAAATTACATCTCGATGAAATTCCAAGTAGACATAGGCATTCAATGGATGATTGGTTCAGGAAGGGTGTGCTAAAGTCTGAAAAGAAAAGGAAAGGTRCAMGAAARGAAAATGTTACACTGACAGGCTCGACCATATTTACTGATGGCAAGTTTAAGTAYCCCATTACTTCAGATTGTCTGCCATTTTGTAACTGGGACTACCTTGATGCCTCTGCTGCCTATCCAAACACGAATGATGTTAACGRGCTATACAATCAATACATCACCGATGTACTGGCAAAAWGTGCTGAAWACCTTCAACGAAATGAAATCCATATTTCTTTTCTCTTGTGCTGCTGTCTTGAAGTTCCAAACTTCATTGAAGATGGTGTAAGGTTTGATCGTATTACCACATCTAATCTATGGGACTATATTCCGTTAACAAAGCTGTTTACAGCAATGAAACCATTGCTTAATTCAGAAAACAAGTCAGCGGCATTAATCACAGAATCCCAGAACTGGGTGAATTTTTTTCCTGGCTTAGAAGCGCGCAAAAGTGTATTAGCAGCATTACCATGGAGTGGTCTAAGGCAAAAGATTCTTCAAGATACCGGSAACCAACGTATTGCCCAAACATATGGTATTGTCGCATTTAAGGACTATCTCAGCTATCTAGTCGAGTTCACATGCTTTGTACGTGCATCATTGCTCGAGGATTCCGAGCCTGGTAAAAGGAAGGTTCTTATACCATCACTCGACCAGCTTGCCGGGCGATTTGGATTCAAAGCTCGAGATTTTGCTCACCATGGTAACACAATTTCCCCAYACCGCTGGAAGTTGAATTGCCGTCGCATAACTTTGTTAACAGGACAAGAGTGTACAGTAGAATGGACCCTAGTGTAACTTGAAATGGACTCTGCATGGATCCAGCTAAAAAACAATAAACTAAAACAGTGCTGACACTTTGTTAATAATTTATAAGCTGAATTTTAGTACTAGTGACGTTATGTTTTGCCATTTTATCGGGTTTTTCCCCTACGTTTCTCATATAGACCCCTTGCATGTGAGATTTTTATCCTCTTGGGAACTAGAATCTATTGTTTTGTCCTCCAGTTGGAGCTGCATTCCCATGAACTGCAAGGGGTCTATAGTTACTTTAGTTGAACAGTTCTTTTTATTCTGTAAAAGATGTGACCCTATCAGTTAATAGTGTCGCATTAGTTRCCAGGTTTTCCCATGATGCAATTGATTTCACACGACAACCAGTAATATTTCCTCTGTTGTAAGTAGTGACACAGGTGTATTCAGAAATCGGACAGCTTTTTATCCTTTATAACAAGGTTTTATGCTGGTGATATTTTATGGACAGAATTAGCAAATCATTTTTTATGAGGGTACCCAACAACCATTGCGGCCGTTTGATCTTCGAGTAAAGTCATTAAACTCAACAATTCTGTCCATGAAAATAACTTAAATTGAGAACCTTGTTAGTAGATATTGACTTTGTGCACAAGTCATGATTTCTATAACTTACCTTTGTTGACATTCTATGTTGTTTCTAGTCTAATAAAAGGAAATGAAGCGTTGGTGAGTTTCCTGGGATGTCAGTGCGTAAAACCCACTCTAGAATGGGTAATTATAAGAGGTTAAATACTGAATTAGTTTAAGTGCCTTGTTACGTAATCAGTAGGCAAGTCAGTGCTGTCGATCCCACATCTTCGCGTGTAAAGTAAACTAAACTTTTCCTGTGTATGTCAACATATTCCTACTGTATTACGAACAGTTGCAGCTTACGTACAATATGCGTGATATGTAAACAACTGCAAAACATAATACGCATGTGTAGTTGTAAAGTTGTAGCTGTAGTTTAGATCAAAGACTTCGTTATTAGCTAGTTTGTATTGAGTCCCACATGCATGTGAGACCAGAGTGATAACTAGATATTCCATACTTAGTTTCTGGACATGTCACATATGAAAACATGACTAAACACATCTCGATATGTGTAATGATATATATAATCTTCGCAGTGTGGATAATAATAATCGYAGAGGTCAYGGGTTCGATTCCTKTTAAAACCCGAAATCTTTTTCGGGTGATCCATACATTTATTAATAATCGCTTAGATTATTTATCCACACTGCGACGATAATATTCATTACACATCTATTYACCTCAGTTCGGACCATTACATCAACATCTGTATATAAGTTACGCAAAAAAATCTAGCAAGTTATCGGCGCATTCACAATCATGCACGATACRCATATTACATAAACAAAGAAGAGCAGATGTCCGTCTSTATATTTGGGAAGAGAAAAACCGCAAAGAGTTTCCGCAAGATTCGCACCTTTTTATTATTTAAAATCTAAAAAGTGATGAAAATTGTAGAGACGAGATTATTAGTTATCGTCAGGAAGAGCAGTTGGTAGCAATAAAGTCAACACAAAACTAGAACTGATAGACCAAAYTACTCAACAAAAACTTCGTGAATACAACTACCTTTTCCTCATATGTCGATGTCAAAAACCTTTTAACTTTTCGATACAATAATCAGATGAATCTTGCTTTAGCTTTTGTGGTAATTGCCCCAAAGATGAACGTTAGACAATGRAGCTTTCACTTTCATAAGGAAATAGAGATCCGTGTTCTTCATCCATTAAAGCTGCTAGCATTAACGTCTTTCCGACATTATGTGGTTGTCCTTTATATAACCTGTCAGGCAAAGTCCTAAAAACAAGARCTGACATTTTAGATGACTATATCCTGGAGGTTGTTTGTTAAGGAAACCGGCATAAACTATAAATCGAGAGTCAGTTCTGAATAGAAGACTATGTTCTTTAGAATTGTCGRGTTTCAGTGATTGTAGGAATCTTTTCTCAAAGGTAAGACTAAAGGAACCATTGCCACAGTAGCATTGCAATGGTGAAGGTGATTGACAATAAAATTTATAAAGCATTTTTGATATTTCTGAATAGGTAATCACTTTGACTTACATTGAACAGCTCATTCATCCATCCATTTTCCATCCATTCACTCATTCACTCATTTTAACCATCGGCTTTTCAGCTCATCATTTTGCAGGTTTATACATCATTTCATTTCATTTATTCATCCATTCCGCTCCCTGATTCGACCATCAATTGATYACCATTCTCATCCATTCATTCATTCATTCAATTCTATTTCGTTTCATTTCAGTTTTAGTGATGCTTTTCAAGTTTGTTATCATAAGTTTGATCTTCATTATGTCGAACGCATTGGGTTTGTCAGGTAAGAATTAGTTGATCTAAAAAAATTATAATTCATGAACGGTGAGACCAACTGAAAAGCAGTCTTTCGTTACCGTTCTCAAGTTTTTCATTCATCGTTCACATTTTTTAAGTTTAGATCTTTTAAAGATCCTTTATTTGTGGCGTTAGTTTCACACGGTTTCATTTGATTCATTTTACAATATATTTTGTTTCGTCTCCAGATCCCAACATCTTTGTYCCGRTGGGTTGTTACCGTGATCTACAAGCAGTACCCAGGCCATTACCAGAACTTATRTACAATTATCGTCTTAACAACCAGATTGATTGGACGAATCTTAACAAGTCAGTAATAGAGCGATGTGCACAGGAAGCCCGTAGAAAGAACTACCTGTACTTTGGTGTTCAGTTCTATGGCGAATGCTGGAGTGGACCTAATGCGCATGACACGTACATGAAGGATGGTGTGTCTCGTTGCTGTGTCGCGGGCGTTGGAAGAGGGTTTGCTAACATGGTTTATCGATTGGTTGGTGAAGGTAGGATCACTCTCTTGATTTGCACAAGACACTGCAAAGGAATCAAGCATTGATATATAGATGTCACTTGACGGACATCATCATCATAATCTCAAGTATTTATTGTTCATCAAGTTTAATAACTGATTGATTGATTGATCATTTTGCATCATGTTTTGTTTAGAAAAAGAATGCGAAAACTATATCATCCTCGATTCTGCAAATCGGTCTGGTTCGTATAATACAAGCAATGCAGGCGAGCTGCTCTGCGACAATAAATTCATCGATGTCAATAAATGGTACAGATTTGACGGGGAAGCAGGCAATGGGATAGCCGATTTTGCCATTCCGARAAAACAAAAATGCCAAACTCTGATAGGAGGGTGGTCTAGTGACAAGCATCCCAATGTTACCCAGGGGATCCGCCCAATCCATGCTTGTTTTGGCCCAAACTGTGAGGATAAGTCTGCCCTTCAAGTACG